AGACTGTCCAGCCAGGTTCAGTACATGAACACAGTGGTTGGCACATATGTGACCACTAACATCTCCCCCATTCCACCGAGGAGTGAGCAACTGGTAAGCTGTTTTTTGGGAGTCCCTGTCCCATAGTGTGTGAGCAAAGTAAGTGCTGTAAGGACACACAGCTTGTTTTAGTCAGCTTTTCCACTGCTGTGTCTAAAGGATCTGACCAGAACAACTACAGAGAAGTCTATCTGAGGGCTCATGGTTTCAGAAGTCTTAGTCCATAAAAGGCAGCTCCGTTCCTCAGGACTAGAGGTGAGACTGAACGTCATGGCAGGAAAGAGTGGTGGAGGGAAGCAGCTCACATCATGGTGATCAAAAAGCAAAGAAAGATTCTACTCTCCAGATACAAAATATATACACCCAAGCCATGCCCCAATTCCCACCTCTTCAGCCACACCCTACCACTTCAGTTAATCCCATAAGGGATTGACTGGCTGATTTGGCTAAGGCTATAACCCAATCATTTCTCCTCCAAACTTTCTTGCATTCTCTCACAGGTGAGCTTTTGGGGAATACCACATCTAAACCATAACACAGCTGCATTTCTTTTCTTCTCCTGGTTTCCACACATAGGCACTGATTGATGAGAAAGATCTAATGGGCTCTGTAATTATGAACAATTGTGGAGAAGGAGGGAGAAAATAGTTTGCATTTAAGAATTTGAGGAGCAAAAGAATTTGTAAGAGAAAGACTTGCTACATATCAAGAAGAGGTGGTATTATAATTTGAAATCCATTGACCTCTCAAAGGGGAAGAGGTCAGAGTAGTAATTAGAGGCTCATAGGCTGTATCAGGGACAGTCTCAGAGACATATTTTATATGTGATGGAACCATGGTCCAGGGTCTGAGGGTTTCTGATAATAGTCCTGTCCTTGACCACTGACTGACTCCAAGTATCTTGTTTTCAGGTGAATTTTACGGTGAAGGCGGAGATGGGAGGACCATTTTCTTATGTGTAGTAAGGACAATGCTCTTTATATGTGTGGTCTTTATCAGAGGAAAGGAATTCAGAGCCGTACTCAGTTGTCTGGTGCCAGGTTCTGCCTTAAGTCCTAGCCTTTGCCCTGTAGGCTTCCTAGCTTTGGCTATCTTATGTTTTATTTGGAAGAGATATTGTTTTATATGTGACTGAAGTGCTGGAATTTCTAAAAGAAACATTACCAAAAAACATTACCAAGCTCTAGCACTTTGGAAAAACAGAAAAGGATCACAATGGGGAAAGATGAGAATGACCCTTGTTGGTGGCTCAGAACTGGTGGGCCTTAGCAGCATTTGGGTCAGAAGGGTGGGTGTTGGGAATCACCCTAAATAATTTAATATTCTTCTATTGATTCTTCTATTTTTTTTTTTCCTGTTTTAAATCAAACTGCCTGTCTCTGTATTGCTGCTTGGTAGCTTCTTCTGTACATTACCTGACATCCTGGTGCACAACATAGTGATCTTCATGCGGTATGTCCCTTGCTTCCTTACCCTGATGGCTTGAACTATTGGACCCTGTGAGCTTACTGCCCTTACTCAGAGACACATAGCCAGAGAGATCTCAAAGCCCCTTGGTGTTCTCTAGATGTGGAGCTCAGATCCCCTATACAAGTCACCAGGTTCACAGTGAACTGTTGAATATGTCATTTTCTCTATGAAGTGGGATCTAGTTTAACTAAGAACACGCGATCTCTTTAGAATCCTAATGAGACCAGTAAAGAACAGAAAAGCTTTCTCAAGGTATAAGTACTAGGTATTTGACCAGACTTACTCTCTAGCCACACAAATTATCATGTGTCATGAAACTTCAGTATTATTCATGAACCTGTGACTATCACATTTGCAGGTGACAGGTTCTGCTACTGACATCTAAAATGTGAGGATTAGAGCAAGGGTTCTCAGAGTGGCACTGGTGATATTTTATGCCAGAAACAATTTTTGTTTTTGTAGACTGTTTAACAGCATCCCTGGACTCTACCAACTAGCTACTGGTACACTCAGCCCCATACTTGGTTGAAACAACCCAAAATGTCTCCAACATTGCCATAGTGTCCACAGGGGAAGATCATCCCTGGTTCAGAATCACTTATTTAGAAGATCACCTCATGACACAGTATCTTCGGGTATAGAAAGATCCTCTGACCTCCTGGTTACATAACAATGAAGATGTGTGTCTCGGGGGTATTGTTGCTTGAATTTGCAAGAAACTACGTGGGCAAATTTCCTTGCTTATTTCATTTCTTCTTGGTTTTCTTTTTCCTAGAACTTCAGTGAAGATTTTATATATTGGTCACATGACCCAGAGCTCCTTGGAAACACATCACTATGTAGATTGTGGAGCAAATTCCACGGCTGTTTAGCATCTGCTCATGGTTCTCCAGTGGCAATACCTGTAGAAGAGAGCCCAGCATCTGTTCCTGAGTTCCATACTGATCCCAGGTGGTATAAGAAGAGGACAAATTTTTTTTTCTTAGCCCACAGCAAACCACCCTCCTACCCCTTAGGGGGAACCTCCTTCCTATAGCACCATGTATGTTTCTCAGAACCAGCAGAATCACTGCCCAGTGCCTAGCCTGTGCCCAGCAAATAGTTGGCACTCAATAAAGTTTGAAGAATTTAATTTAGATCTTTTTAGCTGTTCTTGAGGCATTATAAGCTGAATCTATACCATGCTTCTAGGTTATCAAACCACAGAGTGGCATGAAGATAGGACTGTTAGTGCATCTGCAGATATATCAGTGCCTCATCTGCACAGAGTGGCATCAGGGTACCCTTGAAATACCTGAAAGAAGAGGGCATGGAACCACTCAATGTGTGCATTTGTTTGATCTGTTTCCAAATGCCTAGAAGCTTTTAAAAGAAAGATTTTATTTTTCTTTTTTTTTTTCTTGTAGAAATTCACACTTGTTTCTACCCAAAGTCTATGTGGGGCTTGGTTTACCCTTCATCCATTGGCTGGAACATGGACTGGGGGTTTGATTAAAAAAATAAATAAACTCTGTTTTTGATTCCTTTGTGTCTCTACTTGTCTAGATGCCTTTGTAGGTAATCCTGAGGAAACCATAGAATAGTAAGTGAGTCAGCACAGGGTCCACTATGGGAAGGAAGAAAAAGGAGCCCAGACAACTTGCTGTCCCCATGAGTGTTGTCACAGCAAACAGCCTCACTTCATCTGCCTCTCCAGGCAACTGACTGCCCTATTACTCTTCCAGAATAAAGCGCCCCCTGGAGGCTGAAAAAGTCAGATATGCCAAAGAGTGAGAAACTGCTTCCTGGAGGGGTAACCCCAATGTGGCTTTTGTCTTTACTAAGAGGAATTGGTTTGAGGTTGGAAGTTTCCTCAACTGTCTCCACCCTCTGAACCACCAGAGGATGAGCTGCAGAGGATCTATCAAATTATGGCTAAATTTCATGACTGCCTGAGACTGACCATCATCAAGGGTTGAACACTGGAGTTTCAGTAATAACCAGGTGGTATGAAGGGTGTACACATTAGTGGTAACAGTGATAGATCCTAGTGAAAGAATATCACTACTTGGACAGGAGCAAGTCATTTCTGAAAATGTTGCCCTAATCAGAATATGCCTGAACTCCTGATGGTGTTCACTCTTCTGTATCATCTCTTTAGTTTTTCCATTTTCCAAATAGCCTCTGTAGCATATTTTCTTAATGATTTTGGAAAAGCTACTCATATTGGTACTTCAGTTTTGAGTATTTATTTTTTGTGACCTTGTGCCTGAGAAACATTTCTTGCTTCTTGATATTAACTTAAAATCCAGTTAATAATATTTAAGTAAGAGCAGTTAAATTTTCTAGACATATAGCAATGAGTCTGGTCTTGGTGTTATGAGCTCTCATACCTAATTTTATTCTTAGCATTTCATACTGCACTTTGGGATGCCCTGCATAATTTTATTGTGGTGTCTGTCCGTTCTTGGAACAAATACCCAGAATTTTTCTCTCAGCAATCCAAAATTAGGGGAAGTTGTTGGCTCAGATGTCATTATCATCACCATTGTTTCCAGTGGATTGAAATTTGCAAAGATTATTTCTTAGAGATGAGGCTTGCTGGAGATCATTTCTCTGTAGCTTCCTCTTGGCCTATACTGTGACCTGTAGATCTCTAACTATATATCATGTCGCTTAGTTGAAGAGTTGCTACCTACAGAAATCTCCATTTATTTGTAATTTATTCATTCCAGAAAAAGCATTGAACACCTGCTGTATGCCAAAGATTGCAATTTTTGTTGCGGTTTTTTTTTTTTTTTTGAGTGATATAGCTGGAAGTCTACACAAGCTTTTAATCTTTATCAGGCCCATGTAGACCACAGTTTACCTCCACTAACTATTCTGTAGCCCTAGATACCCCACAGCAAGACCCCATGACCTCTGGGTCGACTATCCCAGGGTATATAGCCCAAAGTATGGAACAGTTGTTAAAAGAATCAGCTGGGTCTGGTGGTACATATCTGTAATCCTAGTGATTTCAGAGACGGAGTCAGGGGAGTCACAAGTTTGAGGCCAACCTGGGAAACTTAGTGAGACCTTGTCTCAAAAAATAAAAAGGACTAGAAATGTAACTCAGTGATAGAACGCGGCTGGGTTCAATCCTCAGTGCTGGGAGGGTGAGGTAGAATCAGCCTATTTTTTTAAAAGCTGTACATGAAATAGGGTCCCAGATGTGTCCCCCACCCCAAACTACTGAGCAGAATAATGTTTTCCTTCATAAGTAAAATTTGTCATCACCTTGTCAGCATTCCTTTAATATGCTGTGTTCCTTCACTTGTTTAGAAGTGGACATAATTTCAGAAGTTGTTCTGTGATTTATCCAGGATTCAAGGGACTTAAGAGTAAGTTTTAGGGCTGGGGGTGTGGCTCAAGCGGTAGCGCACTCACCTGGCATGCGCCGGGCGCTGGGTTCAAACCTCAGCACCACATAAAAATAAAATAAAGTTGTTGTGTTCACTGAAAACTAATAAATAAATAAATAAATAAATATTAAAAACATTCCCTCTCTTAAAAAAAAAAAAAGTAAGTTTTAGCTGAGGCACTGGCTCCTAGTTCAAAGGCTTTTAGTGCCAGACACTTTCATAGAGAAGAGGAAGTTAAAGATAGGAAAAGTAACCTGGCCCAGCCCTCATAATCAGTGAGCCTGCTCTGTTCTGCTTGCTCAGGAACTTGCCTTACATGTTATTATTTCGTAGAGACCTACCTTTCCTGAGGCATCAGGGATCTGAGAAATTAGCAATGATTCCAGTTACTTGGCTACTCTCACTTTGCTCTCTGGGGAGAGCAGCTGTGGGTGACACAACACTCATTCATGCCCTGGTGAGGCTTGCATTTCAAGGGTTTCTGTTCCACATCCTTGTGTCCTCTGGCTGAGTCTCTCCATTCTTTGTAGAGCAGCTGTTATTATTTCCAGGTTTTACTAAGCACCGAGGCAGTGGGTGGGTTGTGAGGAGTCACCTGGATACCTTGGGACTTCTTTTGCAGAAATCTAAGATGGAGGTCACAATCTACCGAATAAGAAGCTCTGCTGCTGTTGCCGTGAATGGAGTGAGCAAGGAGGCAGTATGGGCTGCAGTTGGATTGACAGGCTAGAACTGAATTCAACTCTTCAACTCCACCTATTACCTAAGGAACATTTTTCTCTGTATACATATATCTCACCTGCTCTCCTTGCTCTCACTAGGTAAGATAGGTGGAAGGGTTACTTATGATAACTATTCTGTATTTTTAATTAACATGTTATAATTTTACTCTATTTTTCCATGAGCTAACCCCGGTAAGATATACTTTATTCAACTAAGTTTACTTCATAAGTTAAGTATAAATATCAATAAATCCAGCAAAAGTGTCTTTTATTTATTTGTAGTATTTATTGAAAAGTTGTCGACCTTAATCTAGAGGAAGTGGGCAGGGATGTTAGAAGCGGATAGAGAAAGCCTTGGCTCTCTGGTTTGTTAGCCATGCCAGATCTTTTAAAATTGGTTTTATAAAAATCATCCCAGGGACTTGGGGGTTGAGGCAAGAGGATCACAAGTTCAAGGCCAGCCTGGGCAACTTAGTGAGACCCTGTCTCAAAATTTTAAAAATTAATAAGAAGTAAAAATAAGGGTAGGGGATATAGCTCAGCAATAGAGTGCCCTCCAGTACTACAAGAAAAAGAAAGAAAAAAAATTGTCATGGATTCTGATTGGTTTCCTCTGCTGTCCACTTCACACATCACCACTACTGGGGCCCTCTAGTGGAGAAAAGAACAACTTGCTCACCTCTACACTGAGGCACTGGAAAGCAAGGGACACCTGGTAATAGTGAGAAAGGGAATGCTGTCCATGTAAGATGGAGGTCACAATCTTACATCTGGTGTTCAGAGGAGATGAGTGGAAGCTTTAAGTGCAGGTCCAGGAAGTGAAGAATGGAGGCCAGAAGGAGGGGTGGGAAAGAGGAATAAGGAGGAGCAGGAGGGGTGGAGATTAGTAACCCACTTCTCCTTGACCTAAAATTCGTACTGAAAGGTGCAAATAACCACCCTGATTACTCATGTGCACTTGTCAGGGGTCCCTTCTTGCCCTCCTTCCTGATTTTTCACCCCACCTTCTCTCCCACTCAGCAGTATGGCCCACACATGGCCTTGCTCTCTAGGTTCATGGTGCACCATGCCTCTTGCTTTACAAGAGCAAGGCAATCCCTCTGGGGTGTCTCCCTTCTTATGTTCATTGGTTGCTTTCAAGAGCAAGGCAATCCCTCTGGGGTGTCTCCCTTCCCAAACTGTCATGCTATGATTTGAATATGTACAGTGGCCCTCAAAGTTCCACGTGTTAAAGGCTTGGTCTCCAGACTAACACTACTAGGGCGGTGGGGGGTGGGGGTGGAAGCTTGGAGAGGTGGGGCCTCATGGGAGATCCTCAGATCATTGGGGTGTGCACTCAGAAGGGACTGTGGGCCTGATGTCTTCCTCTCACTCTGCTTCCTGGCTCATAATGTGGGAACTCACTCTGAGACACACTCCTGCCTTGATGCCCAGACCAATAGGCTTATTTTGGCTCATAGTTCTGGAGGTTCAAATCCAAGATCAGGCAGCCCTCACCAGATGCCCAGACCAATAGAGCTGCCTGATCTTGGATTTGAACCTCCAGAACTATGAGCCAAAATAAGCCTCACTTTACTTCATAAATAGCCTGTGTCTGGTGTTTTCATTGTAGTAACACAAAGCTGACTAACAGACTTAGTCTTTGATCCTGGTTTACCACTGGGTTCCATACAGTGCCAAGTTGAAAAAAGAGGCATATGGGAGGTCGCTAAACCAGGCAGAGTGGCTTCAACCTTGCTCTCAGTTGAAAAGTCCACAGAAGGCAGCCCCAGGACCACATTTGGGCATGCATACAGAATCAAGGACTAATGGAAAACAAACTAAAGAACAAAGCACAAGGCAATGTGTACTTTCCAATAATTTTTTAATTTTTAATATCAATTGATGTTTTAAAAAATACAGAGGTGTTTGACACAGAATAGCACCATTGTGTAGGACACACACAGTTCCTGCGCCCGGCACCTTCAGGGGGTCTTTTTGCCTGGGCTGGGGGCAGTCACTCAGGGGGCATTTGACTCACACCAGTTAGTTTCCTGTCTCTGCCTTGACCCAAAGGTCTTACAGGAAGACAATAAATAAATAGAACATGAGATTTTATTTTGCAGTCTGCCCAGTTCAGGTCTCTTAGAGAGGGGAGAACAGTCCAAACTGTGAGAGGGGGAAATGAATGGACATCAGGTCAGGTCAGCCATTCAGTGCAGAATCCTAGAGTGACTGGGATTGGAAAGTACTTGGGTCCTTTGGGTTTGCAATGGATTGTGTTGTTTCTGGGTTTGGGTTTTTACAAGAAGCAGACAGGCCCTATGTCCACACCAAATTCTTGTTCAGGCCCTCCTATGTCCATGGGTGCAATGTCAATGATGGGGAGGCGTGAAGTCTTCTGTGACCGGTACTCGATGACAGTCTTGCCCCACTTACCG